CAAGAAGTTGTCCCTCTGTTTGCCAGGAGTTTCTAGCCAAATTATGGAGACATGATTTTGGGAGGCCCTGGGGACTGCAGAACAGAGCTTTGAGCACTTACAAGCAACATTTTTTATAATATAATTCTAAATATATTTTTCCAAAATAAACCCAAGTAAATTCAATAGCACATATTTTCTAAAAGAGATGTATAGTACACTTCATCCTATATCTAGCTCTTCCCAGTATTTTTTTAAAATAGAGAACAGAATAGAATAGAATCTGGAAGGGACCTTGGAGGTCTTCTAGTCCAAATCCCTGTTCAAGCAGGAGAACCTATACCATCTCAGACAAGTGACTGTATAGTCTCTTCTTAAAAATCTCCAGTGATGGAGCGCCCACCATTTCTGGAGGCAAGCTGTTCCACCGGTTAATTGTCTTTACTGTCAGGAAGTTTCTCCTTAATTCCAGGTTGCTTCTCTCTTTCATCAGTTCCCAACCATTGTTTCTCACCCTTCCCTCTTCAATATCAGTCTGAGCCCAAGGGAGGGAGTCCCTTCACACCCACAAGAGATCTAAATCCAGCCCACCTTGAATTCCTTTGACTCTTATCTACCACCAATTTGCTTTAATAACCTTTAGTAATTCAGATTCCTGTAGAGACAATAAGCTTGCAATAAATCTTTATACTCATTTGAACTGGCTGGATCTGATTTTCCTGATGCTTGACTTTTTATTCTCTACTATCTGTGCTTACAACTGAAGCCTTAGGGTCAGATCGAAAAACGTAAGTATTCATAATCTTGCACAGTCTATTTAAATTGTCAACAGTAAATACAAGTCGGCAACCAGGAGACTATGAGTTCTAGCCCTGTCTTAGACATGATAGCCAGCTGGATGACCTTGGGCCAATCACTGTCTCTCAACCCAACCCACCTCCCCGGGTGGTTGTTGTGAGGAGAATAGGATAAGGAGCATTACATATATTTGATGCCTTTATTTAAAAAAATAATAAAGGGATTTTGGGAATCATAGCAGGGGGAGGCTGCAAACTCAAAAGTACCCACCATCCTTGTACAGCAGCAAGAAATCCAGAACTGACACCCCCCTCCCCATACTATAAACTCCATCCATCAATCTATTATGGTCACAGACCAGCAAATAAAAGCATTAAAACAATAATAGTAAAAAAATAAAAATAAAAGATAGAATAATATATTGTGATTGGTGGTAGATTAACAGTGGGCAGTTAAAGTTTGCCTAATTTTACATACAGCATAGCAGAATTTGGCCACATTCAGCGAAACTACTTCATACTGATCTTATATCAGTAATTACACATAAAAAAGATCATTATTTCCCGGATATTTTATTAGGTAAGGTGTTATAAATTGAGCCAGTGAGTCCTTATAGAAGATGCAGTACAGCAGGACTTGAGCTACAATTCCAATGGCCCCTTGTCCACAGGGGCACAATCTCAGCTCATATGGTGTTCTTTTGTATTGGCCCTCCAAAACTGCTGTGGGGAAGTGTGTTGCAGTGTGCTAAGGTTAATGCCCTTTGAATTTTGAGGACAGTTATTGATATAAATATCTTTCTGCTTTAAAGGGGGGAGTTTGACTGCTCAAAAAAGCGTTGTTGAGAAACGCTTGGATTTTCTTGGATTTTTTATTACATTGTTAAGTGGGCTAAGTGCACACTCATACCCCCATCATTAGAAGCACTTCCCCAAGGAAACCAAGATACTGGAGTTTTTGTGAGAAGGTGCTGGACCATACTGATCTGAAATTGTCTTCTATAAAGACAGAACTCAAACACTTAGGGAAAAAGAGTAGTTTTAATCCAATGGGCAAAAATCTAAATCCATGTACTGTTTTGATTTAGGCTAGTCCTGCCTCCCTCCTTAGTACTATATTTGGGATGCAGTGGGCTACCTAAAATGTGGCTCTCTGGAATTTGGACTGCACCTTTTGCAGAGGAATAAAAGAGGAGTAAGGCCGCAGCTGAGCACCAAAGAGTGATTGTGTGCGAGCCTTAGCTGAATATAACTTCCGTGCTGCAGGAATATACTGTGCTCTTCTGGAACCCTTAAACTTGATAAAGCCTTATTTATCTGTTCCCAGGCTGAGGCTGACAATCTGGTGAGATTCCTATACAATAGACTGTAATAAAGGAGCAGGTTTTAATCCTAAAATGTGGGTGTGTTGCTTGTGCATGACAGGGCATGATAACAAAAAAAAAAAAAAATAGTTTTAAAAAGACATTTCTCTTACAAACCAAAAACGTGTAGAAGTTCCCTGAGAATGGTCTCCAAAATGAGTCCAAAAGCTCAGAAAACCAAACCTCTGATCCCAGCGACCGATCCAGATTGAATCCTGCAACATTTCAACTCTTTTATTCATAATTAACCTACACAGCAGGTATTCATCAAGCCCATGCCTTAAGATCAGACTATCTCCATTCAGGTCTAGTAACTCCTTTCCCTTTCTTTTAGTTTCATAGCCAGGCAGCATAATTTATTTTTATTCCTTTCATTGTTAATTCATGGTTTTTCTTTCCACTTAGTTCCTCTTACATCTGAAGTTGCAATCTTCCATATGCCACGTCCACTAGAAGGGCCCACCAATATTAACCTTCCCATCATGGTTTTGATCAATAGAGACTTTTACATAACTTCTTTTAAATATATTAGTGAAGAGATAAGACTAGGTTACTAAGATTACCACAACTCCACTACAACAATCTCTGCTAATGATAAAGACACTACCAGCCACTTCTGGCACATTTTGGCCAGTGTCACAAGCACAACCAAAGCCCAGTTTTTTTCCCCTCAAATAGGCTCACACTACTGTATGAAAGCTAAGATCACTAGACTGGAGAACGCTTGCAAGCCAACATGTTATTGCCTGTATCCCATCCACTCAGAGGTGAATACAGTATCTATTCACACATACATATATATATATATATATATATATATATATATATATATATATATATATATGCACCTTGTGTATCAGCACACCTCCAATCTGTGCAAAAAACTAAAATTACAGCTCAGACTGTAAATAGTCCCAGTCTTGTAGCTATTTAATACAATTTCTGTATTTTTGGTTTGTCCTAATTTAGAATATAAGAATTAAAATAGCATGGTAAATCTAAAGCCTCAGTTACAGAATGGTAACTGATGGAATAAAAATGGTATTTATGTGTGCTTGCTGAAGTTTACAGCTTACAGCTACAGTGCAAACATAGCTAATCTTTTTGTTTAAATCTACCTCCAGTTCCTTTCTCTATTTTCTAATATTTCTTAGTTACATAGTAATATAAACGACAACATTTTGATTCAAGTAGGGATGTGGAGTTCTCTAGGCTACAGGAAGTTGCAGTTCGGGCACTTCTGGAAAGCTACAACTTCATCATAGACTAGAGAGAGGAAGAATTCCCAGGTGTACTTTTAAAAATATTCAGAAACTTATATTGGAGATAGTTCAGAGTATTAAAATTTGGGAAATCATTCACACTAAGACTTGTGACTTGATTGTTGCATAGCACAATAGCTGTCCATTCAGAACTGAAATTCGGCTTTCATTCTCTCAATCTGCCCTTTCCACTTGTGTGTGAAGTGGCTGTTCCACTCTATTCAGGCTACAACTTTAACCAGGACACATGTAGACCCAGCAGAAGCATTCATGCAACAAATTATATATTGGTTAGAGTTTTCCAGACTTAGCTTGCTGTCTGATCCTAGCTGATTTGGTCATCTCAAAAGTGCTTTTTCAAAAGGCAATTGGACTATGTTTTTTTTTCTTGAGGAAGAAGACCTTACGTTTCTCATCCAAGAGGCTTCATCAGTTCATTAGAGTCAGAACTGATGAAGCTTCTTGGATGAGAAGAGAAAGGTCTTCCTCCTTAAGAAAAAAACATAGTCCAGTTGCCTTTCGGAAAAAGCACCTTTAAGACAACTATGACCTGGATGATTGAGAAGCTCCATAGCTTACTACTTGATTATTCCAGTGAAACCGAGAAAAATGGTTAATTCGGCAGTGGGGTTTTGCTTCTTGTGTACTGTGGTGTCTTTCCAAACCCCAAAAGCTATTTTGGCTCTGAAACTTGCTGCATGGATGGTGGAATGCAGCCTCCTCGTTTGGAGCACCGAGCCGATTTCCCCGCCCCACTTCGAAGCCAGATCTGTTGAAAGAATTAAAGGGAACAAAGGGAGACGTTCTTCCCGGGCTCCAGTTTGGGCGAGAGGGTGCAAGCGAGCAACTTTTAAAAACTCAGGACTGGGAGGCGGGGCGGGGGGGGGGAGAATCAGGCCAGGGCCCCAAAGGCGCTGGCCCAGAATCAACAAGAGACGGGTGCCTAAAGGCAGGAGACCTCCGGAGAAAAATCAGATTCCCTACTCCCCTCCCGAAACTGGCCAAGCCCAGCGCCCGCAGGAGCCGTACTTTTCTTGCAAAGCCAACAAAGACAACCGAGGAGATCTTTCGGGGGAGAAGGCAAAGGGGAAGCGATCGGCTTCGCCTCGCCTTTTGCCCACGGGCCCCCCCCCCTCGCCACTCCAAGGGTCTCTCTCTCTCTCTCTCCCAGAACCAAGCCCTGGCGGAGCTCGACCAGAGAAGTGGCCCGCAGGCTTTCAGGAGCAAAGTTGAGGCTGAGAGGAGGGAGGGCGTCGGGGGAGGGGGCGTTCGCGAAAGTCCAGGGCGGCCCCAGCCCCCCTTTTCTTTCCTAGGAAATGGAGTCTTGGGGGGGGGGGAAGCGGCAGCCCCAGGCAGGTTGGGTACGTCGGTATGTGTATAAAAAGCATAACGTGGAGGAGCCAGCAGCCGCGGGATTAAGGAGCTTTGTGAAACTTCATGCCTACACGCAAAGTTTGGCGAGGGAGGGGGAAGAGATACTTCCCTCTCTCTGCAGTGTTTGGCTTGAAAATATTGGCGAATCCGATCCAAAGAGAAGGAGTATGTCCTCGAAGGAAGGAAGGAAGGAAGGAAGGAAGGAAGGAAGGAAGGCCACTCACCTGTACTGGGAGCTGGGATGAGCATCGAATCCCCTTGGGGGTCTCCATCGGGCGAGTCAGTGGAACGGCTCGGGAGGTCGCTTCGCACCTGGGACATCGGAAGGAGCCCTGCGAGACGCCGCCGCCGCCGCCCGCAGAGACACAGAGGCAGACAGAGCGAAGTTCATTGAAGACGCTCCCTCTCCGGCCGGCCCACAAGACGCTCACCCCTGGGGATGAATCAGACGCTTCGCTGGAGAAACCGCCCCGCGCCAGCCCAGGCTTCCTAAATCTCTCGCTCCCCAGATCGTCCCCCTCGCGAAGAAAGCCCAGCCCGACGCAAACGCCGCCTCCAGCCACCTCTTCGCCGCGGTGACATTCCGCGAGCCCACCGCTCTCCGCCCCGCTTCCCAAGACAGACGTCTTAAAAAAAAAACAAAAAAAAACCCCTGGGCAAGAGGAGGGGGACTTACTTTGGGATGAGTCTTCAGCCCCGCTTGCACCAGCGGACGGTCATCTTGCCGCCTTCTCCACGTGCGGTTCTCTCCCGCTGCTCTGCTCCACGGCTCTTGAAACAGAGCTCCGAAAACAAAAGATGCAAACCCCTTGATTGCCTTCTGCCCTTCGTAAGGGATGTAACTTTTCTCCCTGTACGCTTCTCGAAGTTTTCCGAAGTAAAGAAAGCGAGAACTGGGGAAACGCGTTCAACCACTGGAGTTGCCTGCCTTGTTCCTTTCTGGAAAGTTTAGTTGCAAACGGGCAAGTTTCAGCCTCTTCCCCTTATCCTGTAAGCTCTGCCTCCCATCGGTTATTTTTTAAAACAGGAAATTGCATCCAGTCTTGATTACTCAGTTTCCTTCGAGCATGAGATATTTGAAGTACATAGAACCCATAATAAGTAGCTTGGCACAAAATTGGTTCTCCTTTTTTCTTTTGAAGCACTAAAAGTAAACAAATGCGCTCACACGCATCCTATCCCCCCCCCCCAAACCTGCTTCAGCAGTTAAAAAGAAAAGGGACAAGACAGTATGGAGGCAATTTATACTTCAGGAAACAAAGTGGCCAAAATGACATCTCCAAACTAAAAAAAAAAAATCAAAGCAGCGTGTCACAGTGCTTACATCTTATTTTTCAAAAAGCAATATGAATATTAGATTGCAGAATTATTTTGGAGCTAAATAAAAAAAACTTGATTTAACTGGAAAATAATATTTCAAGGGAAGGAAAAAAAAAAGCCCCTTTACTGAATTTAGGTTACCCAAGATATATTCACATTAGTCCAATTCAAAAGAAAGTGTTTCAAAATCCTTTCTGTGCCTTACTCTGACATCACAGGATTTTTTAAAAAATGTCTAGGCAATAAATTTCATGCTTGCCAAATAAAGAACTAACTACCAGTGTTTGTCAAGCATGGCTACATTAAGATATGTAAACTTCAACTCCTAAAATGCCTCAGCTACAGGGACTGAGGAATTTGGGGAGTTGAAGTCCACACATTTTAAAGTTGCCAAGTATGAGAAACACTGAACTACACTGTTCAAAAGGTACCTAAAGTTTTTGGAATTACATCTTCCGTTGCTAATATTTTGTTTCTGGATGTTGCATTATGGATAGTGCTTTTGACCCTGAAAAACAGGCTGAGTTACATTCAGATGGATACATTTACAACTGCCTACAGAGAAAACCTATGACCAATATGGGAACTTTAATCTCAGTGAGGGCACTAATCTTACATTTCATAATAATTGAGATTAAATGTAGCCTTCTGATAATACAGCTTGGAGAAACACTGCCTGCTGTGTGAAAAGGGCCCACTTCAGTGCAGAATGCCATTTGCCTTCAGAATCATAGTGGTCCTTCGATGATCATTAATAAAACAAATGATGGTGCTGATGATGCTGGCACAGAACTTTATTCAGCATCTATAGAGTTGGAGTCAACATACTGTGCTTTTAGTATGCTGCTGATCTTAAAAAGCTAAGCAAGATCACACCTGGTTAGAAAGGAGTCCACAAAGCCCAGAAATCCCAGGGCTGTGCACTAGGCAACTAATGAACAATGTTAATTCAGGACTTCTAATAATAACAAAAATAATGTAGAATATTCGATATTCTATGCTCATACCTGGATAGTGCAGAGCCCTAAACTAATACTCTAGAAGACAAAACAACTTTCAGAATGATCAATTAAAATAGACTCAAAATAACATAATGAAATTTCGTACAAACCAATATCAAGTTCTTCAGTTAGAAATGTCCCAGTCTTTGCATACCTACTGGAGTCCATTGGGATCAAAATAAATGTAATAAATAAATAAAATCCTCAGAAGTATAATTCTCAAGTCATGCTAAGCAATAATTCCATATAATCAATTAAACTTACTTTGAGTGCTCAAAGGGCTCAAAAGAACTCAAATGGCAAGCTCAGCTCATAATAATAATAATAATAATAATAATAATAATAATAATAATAATAATAATAAAAAAAAAGTTGGAAGGGACCTTGGAGGTCATCGAGTCCAACCCCCTGCTCAGGCAGGAAACCCTACACCATTTTGGACAAATGGCTGTCCAGTCTCTTCTTAAAAACTTCCAGTATTGGAGCATTCACCGCTTCTGGAGCAGGTTGTTCCATTGGTTAATTGTTCTAACTGTCAGGAAGTTTCTCCTTAGTTCTAGGTTGCTTCTCTCCTTGATTCGTTTCCATTTGTTGCTTCTTATCCTGCCTTCAGGCGCTTTGGAGAATAGCTTGAGTCCCTCTTCTTTGTGGCAGCCCCTGAGATATTGGAACACTACTATCATGTCCCCCCCCCCCGTCCTTCTCTTTGTTAAACTAGACATACCCAATATCCTTATATGTTTTAGCCTCCAGTCCCCTAATCATCTTTGTTGCTCTTCTCTGTACTCTTTCTAGAGTCTCAGCATCTTTTTTACATCGTGGTGACCAAAACTGGATGCAGCATTCCAAGTGTGGCCTTACCAAGGCATTGTAAAGTGCTATCAATACTTCACGTGATCTTGATTCTATTCCTCTGTTAATGCAGCCCAGCACTGTATTGGCTTTTTTGGCAGCTGCAGCACACTGCTGGCTCATATTTAAGTGATTGCCACTAGGACTCCGAGTTACTACTATTGAGCAGGGTACCCCCTATACTATACCTATACATTTGGTTTTTCTTGCCTAAATGTAGAACCTTACTTTTTTCACCATTGAATTTCATTTTGTTAGATTTAGTAGTTTTCCCTACAGATGCCTTCTTTAATCGGATGCCATGCATTAAAATGTCCTTGGAATTTTGCTGTTGTAGTTTGACAGTTTTGGAAGACTCAGGACTGGGAAGTATGCTGCACTGTTCTTTTAAGAGTTGAACAGGCAGAGGAAGTTCTGATAGAGCTCATGTTCATTAAGCATAGCACTGTCGCTTGTGATACCCATCAGAAGGAACCTGCCACTTTTTTTAAAAAGAGTTCATTGACTGATGAAGAAGTTGATCTGACTTGTGACACCCAGCTAGTTGCAAGTATGTCCTTGTGGGTGTGCCTTGGATTTTCTGACTACTAGGCAGCAGGGACTATGAATCACCCTCCAAACATGTCAATGCAGCCAGTCTGGCTATTTTTTCTTGTTTGTTTACTTGTCAGCCCCAGGTGACTAATGTATTTTTCAAGGTACATGCCCATTTTTGTTCTTTCCTCTCCCCCTTTTTAGTGCTGCTGGCTGGAGCAGGCAATTTTTGAAAGAATTGACTCCACATCACATATTTGAACTGAATTCCTTTCTTTATCTTCTCAGGCTCATAGGGAAAGTTGCCTGCTCTTTGGTAACTGTAGGAGAAGCCCAGATCCCCATTAATTAAAGCAACTGCTTTGATGATAAAATGCCAACTCATCCTTTTCATTTCTTCTACTAAGATTCATACTTAACAGGCAGATGATTAGCTGGAATTTCCATCCTCCCCCATATTTCATAGTTCCTTATTTGTCTTGAACCAAGAAGTTAGACACAATGTTGCTCAACCTTGACAATTTTAAGGCATGTGGACTTCAACTCCCAGAATTCCACAGCCAGCAATGCTGGCTGTGGAATTCTGGGAGTTGAAGTCCACATGCCTTAAAATTGTCAAGGTTGAGAAACACTGAGTTAAGAGTCTTCCCTCCTCTTCTGCTTGTAGGACTTTCAGGAAGCACTTTCCATAATAATTACTTCAACCTGCTGGCTCTTTTACAGGGGAGGGTATAGCTTATCAATCCAGTCCAGTCCAGTCCAGACGGAACCACAAGAGGATTAAGTGGAATGTCAAAAGCAATGCCTGAACCATCCTCCATTAGCTTTATTTGTATCAATTCCCATCAATTCTACTAAAAATTAGAAGGTATGCAAGAGAGTGATTCCAGGCTAGAAAAAACAATTTGAAAACATTTATTACAATAATTATTTATACAACTTTTTAGATCTTTAGAAGGCCCCCCCCCTTTTTTTTTTCCTTGAAAGGAAGCCATACACAAAAAATAAATTAATCTGGGAAGAAATTGGTTTTGTGCAATATTTGAAGCCCCTGATAAAGATACAAATAGATTTCTGTTAGAATTAAGTTCTAGAAAAAGTCCTAGCATCACATTATTTTAGTTATCTACAGTATTCTTCTTTGAGTGATCTGATAAGACAATACTCTCAAAATAAATTTGCTGATATTATACTGCAGGTAATGGTGATAATGAAAGGAGGAGAGTTTCAGAGAAAATGGGGCAATATTTCAAATGAATGAATCCCCCCCCTGCAAAAAAGCAGTTCTGACATGCATGGATGGTTGAGAATTCAGAAGAAGTGATTAGGAAATTATATTACCCAAAAATGAACGAGAAAAGTAATTTTTGGATGACTATGGAGCTTTTCAATCATCCAGGTCATGGTTTTCCAAAAGGTAAATGGAGTTTTTGGTTTTTCTTTGAAAACATTTCGCTTCTCATCCAAGAAGCTTTTTCAGTTCTGAAGAAATTTTGGTGTGAAAGAAAAACAATCTAAAAAATTTATCTGAAATATTTAAAATCAGTGTATATGTACACATGACAACAGAATGAATATAAATCTAGGAGTATGAATAATCTGATTGCATATGATGAAAATTTGGTAAACTGAAGAAGGGTAGATGGCAAAGAAATATTCTTAGTGTTCTCTTTGAGGGAGATGGGCAGTGCAGAAATGCAAAACATAAATAAATAAATAAATAAATAAATAAATAAATAAATATATGATAGATAGATAGATAGATAGATAGATAGATAGATAGATAGATAGATAGATAGATAGATAGATAGATAATTTGTTGCTAGAGTAAAAAATGGCTCTTAGGGGGAAATGAACATGGAAGGAAAGAAGTAAAAGCAGAATGAGGGCAGGAAGATAATATATGAGTCCTGTAAAAAAACCATAAACTTACAAAAGTGGAAAGTGGACATGAGGAAATACAAAAATGCTTGGAACAATATGGAAACCTATTTCAAAGCTCTACAAATGGTATGGGATTATACTAATGAGAAGGAAAAAAAGGAATAAGTAAATGAATGAGACTGTGGATAGAAACACAAATATAAGCCAAAAGATTGCTTAAAGATGAAGGTGAGAAAAGATATAGTATAAAGAAAAGAAAATATTGCAAAGAGAGAGCAAGGAAATGTTATAACTGAAAGAAGCAGAGGGGATGCAAAGTAATTTGAAGGAAATAAAAAAAATGACTGGATGTGAAAAAGACTTACTAAGCAGCCTCCAGATAACAAATTTGTGATAAAA